GGAGAGAGAGAGATATGATAGATAGGTAGATAGATTAGATAGATATAGATAAGATACAGGAGAGAGAGAGATATGATAGATAGGTAGATAGATTAGATAGATATAGATAAGATACAGGAGAGAGAGATAGATAGATAGATAGATAGATAGATAGATAGATAGATAGATAGATAGATAGATAGATATAGATACAGGAAGGAGGGAGGGAGGGGAGAGAGAGAGAGAGAGAGAGAGATACATGATAGATAGATGGATGGATGGATGGATGGATGGATGGATGGATGGATGGATGGATGATAGGCAAAAATAAGCACCATCTGTCCTTGAGCCGGGAAGTAGCTTACCTGACTGAATTGCGGGGACTGGTGGTTGGAGTGGTGTCCTTGGACGGAGGTGTCATGGTCCCTTCATCTTGTTCGCTCACAGTATCAATTATGGAATGGCTGTCAGGAGTTGGAGCTCCACTGCCTTGTGGAGTGGAATGACTACTCATCGGTTCCAGACGGGAGCTTAAAGGAAAGAAGTGAATGAAAAGCGATTAAAATGCGACGTAGTTCGAGAACGGTACAGCCTTTGGGATCTAAGATGATCCTTGAGATCTCAGCGCCAGAGGGCAGGAGAAGCAGCAATGGTTGGAAACTAACCAAGGAGAGAAGCAACCTGGAATTAAGGAGAAACTTTCTAACAGTGGAGACGATTAACAAGAGGAACGGTTTGTCTTCAGAAGTTGTGGGTGCTCCATCACTGGAGGCTTTTAAGAAGAGACTGGAGTGGACACCCAACTGTCTGAAATGGTATAGGATCTCCTGCTTGAAAAGGGGGTTGGAATAGAAGACCTCCAAGGTCCCTTCCAACTCTATTCTGACTGGTTGATTGGTTGCCTTTGAATTTCACATGAAACTGTAGTTTAGTCCACCATGGGTTCCTTGCAAAGAGACTAAGTAAGCCAGGTTCTTTCCATTTCAAGCCAGAAAAACCACACTCACAAGGTGAGAATTAAACATACTTTTGCACACTTTTAATTCTTCTACAGCTCCCTGATGATGTTTGTCCATCGTATTCGAATAGGACCTTGACATCTGGGATGTCAAGACTTGCGCATGAATTGGATTAAAGTGAGGGAGAGTTGCGCAGAGTCAGCCTCACTCTCTTCTCCCAGATTCCATCTTACTCCAATAGCAGGACAAGAGTCGAGACAGTTGGAGATGGGCTGGGCGTAGTGGTTGACCAGGGCATCTTTCGTGGTTTGCCGTGCTCTTAGCGTACCTCATCGCTTGCAGAGACCGCCTCCAGGGCCGTTCTCCTATTCTAGTAGGTTTCATCTGCTTAATCTGCCGGAATCTGTCTTCACATGCTCAGGATAGGCAAGTCCCTCTCTCACCGAAGGTCAATGACCCATGGCTACTCTCAACTTGGTTGGGCCAGTTTGTTGAAGCTGTTGGCCAGGGTGTGGCTACTGCGCATGCTACAGCTACTAGGAGCCACAGGTGAGAGCTGAGTGACAGGTGGGTACCAAAGGTGGACGAGCTGCCCCAAAAGCTGCCCTAAAATGAGCTGGCCTAAAAAGACATGACATGATGCCCCTATACCAGCGGTGCCAACCCTCCCTGAACACCCCATACATTGAAGCTGCTCCCTACAGCTTCAGCTGATCAGCAGATGCTACAACCTGCTATTTGAAAAACAGACATACCTTGCTTTTTCTGGGTTAGGTTCAAATGTACCCCATTTTTTTTCTGGGGTCCAGTTCAAACATACCCTTAGAAAAGAGTGTTCCAAGGCGAGTCACTTTCTTTAACTAAAATAATGTTGGGATGGTAGAGAAAATATCAGAAGTCTACCGTGTTGTTCTTCTATCTCAAGCCTACAGTCTTGCACACTTTTTCAAGGGATTTCCCCCAACAAAACAGTCCAATTAGGGTAACCACGATCAGAAAATCTCCAATTGGTTGACTCTAGGTGACAATCTAAGGGTGTCAATCTCGATTTCATTGAAGGCCACATCAGGGTTGTGCTTGACTTCAGAGGGCCAGGGTGGGCATGGCCAGCTTGACCTTACTCATGTTGGGGGCACCTCTGGTGACCGAACGCTCTGCCAGCAAAAATGGGCTCCTGAGCTCCGTTTTTGGCTGGGATGGCCTCCTGCAACCCTCTGACATCAGAAATGGAGCTCGTTGGGTGGGGGGACAGGGACTGTGCATAGCCCTCCTGAGCTCCGTTTTCGCCGGCAGAGGCACCACGTCTCAATCCTTCGTTGTTTCCAGGGCAGCCCCATGGGCCAGATCTAAGCACTCTGTGGACTGGATTCGGCCCACGGGCCTTGAGTTTGACACCCCTGTTCTAGAACAATGTAAGAAACGCCAGTTCATGTATTTGCAAAAACAAATTGTTGCTTGTTAAATGTAAATAAACAATTTGTTATTTTTGACTTTTGTCAGAAGCCTTAGTTCGCTTCAAGCTTTAGCTTTCCTCACTTCATCATTTTGGAGGTTCTGCTATAATCTGTCCAATAAATCAACTGGTGCTTCATGGTAACAGTGTCTTGGTCTCTGCTTCCAACCTACCCCTGGGAAGAAGATCTTCACATCATAGAGACCATCGTAGAGAAGGTCTAAGCTTACCTTGATCGTGAATGGTTGCCCAGCTGGAACATGTGGGGGTTGTACTGTGCCAAAATAGTTATGGTATCGCACTGCTGCCCAATGATCAGCCGGGCTTGTTGTTCCGTGGCATTCCGCAGGTTGATGCCATTAAACTGGGAGAAGATAAAAGAACCACACAAAAATTCATTCATAAATATTCCTTTTTTAAAATCATTTTTTTATTTTATTAAATTTCCATCAAATAGTGTGTTGTCTGGGTACAATTGTTCTTAGACAATCATAATCAAAATGTTTACAATAGTATTTCTCACAAAACAATACTATAATAACAACAATGTTTAATTTATCTACTTTAACAAATCTCCATTTTAATATTTATCCTTTTTATGTTTCCACATTTCTAACTTCTGTTTCTATTGTCTAAGCATTGGTAAAATAAATCCCATATCAAAAAAATGTTCAGTTTCTTCTTTAACCTGCATAGTAAGCGTTTGTCTATCCCGGTGATAGTCAACCTTTTTGGCACTGAGTGCCCAAACCGGAACGTGTGTGTGTGTGTGCAGGCGCCCCGGAGCGCCAGAAATCTGAAGACCAGGTGGTTTCCGGCACGCGCATGGACAATGACCAGCGCACTGGAAACCAGAAGAGAAACTGGCTGATGTGAAAAATGGTCCTCAGTCCTATTTTTTAGTGATGCTGTAATTTTGAACGGTCACTAAACAAACTGTCGTAAGTCAAGAACCCCCTGTACTGCACAGCCAACTGGAAAACAGGGTCGTCACGATCGACTCGTAGCTTTACCTCCAACAACTGATCGCCATATTCAAGGCCAGCCTGATGGGCAATGCTGCCACTGGTTACTTTCGAGACGAATATCCCGCCATTTTCCCCGCACACAATGGAGATTCCCAGGGGTTCCGCCCCCTTCTGCACTTTGACCTGACGTGGTTCTTCCATGTAGGGCCTTTGGGAGAAAAAGAGCACAGGGACACCTCTTGAGCGAGCATCGGAAGGCAGGGGAGGAATATATATATATAACTCACATCACACGGAGGGCATGCACCATGCCCACCGTCCCCCTTCGAAAGTGGAACAGTGGCCCCTTTAAAATATTGGCTCAAAATGGTGACATTCCTTTCACATGCAAGGGACGGAAGCTGGATCAGGCCGTCTTCGATGGAATAGCATCAATGTGATTGCTGCTAACAGGAAAGGCATGGAATGGCAAACTAAAATTATAAATGGAATTAGGGTGGAAAAAAGGTCATAAAGAAAACATATCTTGGCCCATATTATATATAGGTCAATAAGCATATATAATAGGTCATTTTGGAATGCATTCGGGGGAAGGAGGGGAAGGCTTACATCCATGTATAGCCATTTCTGGACCCTTTAGAGCAGTGGTCCCCAAATTTTGTGGCCCAGCTGGGTGTGGGGACAGAGGGGAACCGGGCTGGGGAATGGGACGACTTCCCACAGCCCACTTACTACGGCAAACTCGCTGTGGCCAACTCACCACAGCTAACTTGTAGCGGAATGGCTAGCTTGCCACAAGACAAGTCACTGAAGGACAATTTAACAATTTTATTTAATTATTTGAAATAAATAAAAAATATTTTAATTTTGGCCATTCGCATTTTATTTTGTCCTTTCTTTAACGATTCTATCCCTCCATTTCTTTGATATTAGTGTAACTCTTATCCTGCAGCTGCTTGTTCCATGTCCTGAGGCGAGCTGGCCATGGCGAATTGTCATAGGCCCACCGGGCCGTGCACGGGGTGAGCTGGGATGCACGTGCATGCAGACACATCGCCTGACTGCAAGACGCGTCACACGGGCGGACACTTGTGGGCGTGCCAGCCCACTGCTCACACAAGTTGAGCGGAGTGTCAGCTCTCCTCTCGCGTGGCCTGGTTCCAAATAGGCCATGGCCCAGCAGTGGGCTGTGGCCCTGGAATTGGGGACCCCAGCTTTAGAGTGTCATTTCTATAGAAATATAGAAATCCCATCGTCGTAGTTCATGGGGATGAATCACGAGATGAAGAAGGGAGAACGCGACGCCGAATCGTTTCTGTTTCCACGCAAGAAAAAGGCAGGGTTAGTCGATGGAAATGAAGCCGCTGTAAAGCAAACTCCAGCCGTTAATTCACAATGGCGCCTTGCATGGTAGCGATGCAATTACCATGCAGGGTTGGGTTTTTCCCCCCTTTTGGGAAAAAGGGGGGGGGTTCTATCCAAACATGTAAATAGCACACAAATAAACTTCTCAAGGACAACCTGTATGTCAAGCCAACCTCAAACTCCTGAGGGAACAGAACTTAGGCGTAGAAGCCACAGGAATTCTCAGAAAAGACCTATTACGGAACAAATATCTGAAAGGTGGAGAGGGATGAAGAAAGACAGGAAGGAAAAAAAGAAAGAAAAAGGCCTTAGAGAAAGAGATAGTAGCCAAAGCTATGCTACACATTGATGGGTGGAGATAGGCCCTTTGTGTCGGTCTACATCCACGAGAGGCTGTTTTATGCAGGTAGTCCTCAACTTATGAGCACAACCGAACCCCACATTTCTGTCATTGAGACCCTTGTGAAGTGAACTTTGCCTCATTTTATGACTTTGCTTGCCACAGTCATTAAGCGAATCACTGAAGTTGTTCAGTTAAGTAACACAGTTGTTAAGTGAACCCGGCTTCCCCATTGACTTTGCTCATCTGGAGGTTGCAAAAGGGGATCACACGATAACTATGAGCCAGTTCCCAAGCGTCTGAATTTGGGTCACGTGACTGTGGGGATGCTGCAATGGCTGTGTGAAAAATGGTCGTAAGTCACATTTTTCAATGGCGTTGTAACTTTCAACAGTCACTAAATGAACGGTTGTAAGTCAAGGACTACCTATAATATAAAACACGTCAAGCACAGGACTTAATCACCTGGGTTACAGTGTACTGTGGGGTCCTTGGTGCTCTGTGAGCTGTTTTCTTGCTGACGTCTCTTTATCCAACTAGATAACGTCATCAGTGTGAGAAGGGAGAGGGGTTTGCTCTCTCCATATGGTTTGTACTGTCAGTGTTGATGGACGCGTTCTTGATGGCGCCTTAATTAGGCTGTTGTGTTGACTGGACGGATCATGCTGATTGATTGTGCTAATTAGGCATAGCTGATCCCTGCTAGTTATTAGGCATAGCTGATCCCTGCTAGTTATTAGGCATGATTGATTATGCTAATCGTGCTAATTAGTTTGGTAATCAAGCAACCACCAAGGACACTCCCACCAAAACTGACAGGGCAAGCTGCTTGTATGTAAACTCAGAGCAAACCCCAGCCCCTTCTAGCACTGATGAGGTTATCTAGTTGTTGTGGCCCAGCAGGAGCCGTTGGAACTGCAAACAGACTTCGATAGCGAGGGACCCTATGAGTCAGATCTGGAAGATGTGGGGGACCCTGGACAGGGTTCAGA